CTAAAACGAAAAAATGCAAAGAACAAAATAGTCTTAGAATTAGTCAAAGAATACGTGTGAATTTTTTCAGATTTTTTTAAACAAATTTTTTTAGTTATAAACAATAAATTTGTTAATAACTTTTAAAATACCAATTTTAACGCTTGGTAACCAAGCTAAATCGATTCAGCACACCAAAAAACCTATAAAAAGCTTTGGTTACCTTAAGGACCTGAAAATGCATACTCGACCCATAGCTGGCGCCCGGACTATCGACCGTATTTCGGAGAAACGAGCCGATTGCGCGCAGTGCAATTACGCGGCACTTGACTGGGACTCGCGTCCGACTAACGTTGTAATCCGCGCGTGTTCCCCTTGGACTCGCGTATGATCAATTGCGTCCGAGGCATGATCCGATGGTGGCGAGGACATGAGATACGAGATAGCGAGACGAAGCGCGAACGAAGTGATGGTTGTATTGATGAGCGTTGAGAGTTCGATTAAATAAAGAAACGAGTCTTTGTGTGCAAAAGTACATTTTTCGTAGTCTTTTCGCGAACCCTTCTCACTTATTTTCAGCTTGGACTGCCGACGCTCGCGGCGCACTTGGTGTCGGCTCGACCCTTTCTGAGGTAAGACTCAACGATAAGCTAACCGGAGCCTCAGTAAGAAATAATTAGACGGCAGGCCGAGCATGGGCTAGTGCCCAAAACCTCGCACGTCACAATATATGTGAATACCGAACTCACCAGCAGTGCATAGCCTCGGGTCCTCGTCGTATCCCTCGCGGCAGTCGGGCGCTCCGTCGCACAGATACTGTATGGATATGCAGGTGCCGTCCTCCGGGCACTTGAACGGCTTGTAGGGATGACAAGCCTCTCCTCCGTCTGCGTATATCATGCAAAAGAAAAAAGAATAAATCAGAATGTGTTGAAATTTATTTACAGCTTAGGGCATACGTACTGAGCATATTATATGTATACGGATAGAGAATAAAATTTTTGAATGTAAATTTGGAATTACATCGTGTATTACGTTCTCTCTCGCTCTCGTTGAACGTGCGTTGAATTTTACGAAAGCTGCGTGACGCGCGTGATGCATTATATCGACGCGCTGCAGCTGCCTCAGCTGCATAGTAGTATATTTGCAATCAAATATATATATCGAGAATTCATACGTCAAACAAATGTATTGTATTTTTGTACCACGTGTGCGCGCGCGAGCAGTAGCAGCAGATGCGGCACGCAATATTCATGATCTTTGTCCTTTCACGCTCTCTCTCTCTCTCGCGGATCGGATTTCATTATTTTTGTTGAATAGAATAGAATTTTCAGTATTTTCCAGTGATAGAAAGCAGCTCTATCGATTCGATTGGTATATATTTTTACACAATGAAATATAAATAAAACGTACGACGTCGAGCTTGTCAAGGTTTAATAAGCTGCTACACAGGCCATATATAATTTAATTTTGTACTATACGCGTGCCAAATATAAGAAAGTTTCCCGAAAGTCGTCGAGAGAAAGATAGAGAGCGAACAAAGACATAATTGCTATAATTGAATCAAGCAGAACAGCAAAAGAGTATAATTTTAATTCTCGAACGTATCGATTTATTGCCTTTTTCTGTACGTTTATTATTGAATATTATCTTTAGCGCTACATTGGCTACAATAAAGTAACGAATAATTAATTAGCTTGGAGCTTCCAGCGCTGGTACATGAACTAAATGTCGAGAGTCGATGAAGAGTCATTCGCTCGAGCTAGATAGAGAGCGAATCGTCAGAAGTGTTTTCTCGCGCAGGGGCGATAAAAGCTAAAAGGGGATGGGGGGGGGTCAGAAGGAAAGCAACAAAGAGAGAGAGAGAGAGAGAGCTACGTAAAAGTTCGTAAAAGAAGTAAAGAAGAGCCAATGATCGGGTGGCTAAAAGGAGTATACGTTCTGTGAGTCTTTTTAACGGACTCAAATTGTTTCAGGCGTATATAAAGTCCGTCTCGTCGTCGTTGCGCAGCCGACATAACAGCGGCTCCACGCGGCTCTCAAGATAATGAATCGTAACGCCGCCGCTATACGATCTCCGGTCTTCTTTGTCGTAATGCAGTATGACGACCGAATGTCGTCGTCGTCGTCGTCGTATTGCTCTCGTGCTACTGCATAAGCTGTGCACGGGTAAGTATAGGAGGAGACCACTTTTCTATATATCCGTCGGGTTTTTCCAAGCGGGGCAAGATAAGGCACAAAAGGGACGAAGTTGCGGGAGCCTTTAGTCATTCGTCCTACTATAGACGGCCGCAGCAGCGACGTTCGTTTGATATAATTCCAGGCTTTAAAGTTAAAAGGAGTAGTTGCTCGAGAGTCGTCGACGTCGACGTTTAAAGCCACACAGACAGACGGGTACGGGAGTCTGAATTCAAAGAAAAATACCGTACGAAGGGAATACATTATAGGACGAAGAGAGATAAGATACCGTGCACAAAAGTCCATACAAATCGTAACACGTATACGCACGAATGAATAATAATAAATGTTATACTCGTCCTTCTCCGAGACTCAAAATGCAATAGGATCTATAGCGATACACATTATCATAGTACGTCATATTATACGTTTGATTGTTCGTCCTTGATCCACTAATTAGACAGCGTAGCGTATAGCTGCTCGTCGCAGAAAAGTCAGACATTAACGATAATTAATCTCTTGCGCGCCCCGTACGTACGTACGTACGCGTATATCATAGCTCCGGGGACTCGAACGTGTATATAATATGTATATATAACCAGCCCATCCACCTACCAGCCAGTTGATGTACGAGAGAGAGGGTTTTAATCACCGCAGCCACGAGCTATATATATATAATCGCGTGAAAACTGTACGCCTCGCGCTCACCGTGCGGAGAAAAGGCGCAAAAGGAGCTGCTGCTGCTGCTACGGTGCAGATTAAAGGCAAACACGCGTATACACACGCACACGAAACGCAGCAGCAGCATAGGTACGCTGCAGTGGTAGACAAGGAGCTCGCGTGTAGCGTCGGGTAAAGGGGGGGGNNNGGGGGGGGGGGGGGGGCAGCGCTGTATATAATAATACACAATGATAATGTGTGGGCGCGCGCGAAATTTCCACCTGTGCAGCAGCAGGTAGCTAGCTAGCTTAAACCAACTGCACTGAGCTTTAAAGCTGAAATTCGAGGTGCGTTGTATATACAGCACTTACTTACTTACTTACTTACTTACGCTCGCTTCTCTCTTTGTTCGTGCGCACGAGCGAGCGAGAGAGCGAGCTCGAAACTTTTTGAACAGAAAGGCCAGTGCGGCTGGCTGGGTGTATAACGATGAAAATTGGGATGGATTTCGGAGCGTTGGAAAATTTTGAGAGAGAGAAGGAGAAAGAGGAGCTTTAATGGGATACGAAAAATTGTCAGTAATACGTCGGAGCTCGTGTTTTTAATCTTTATTGTGCTATACGATATCTTTTCTTATCTCTCTTCTCTGGTGTTCTTCTTCTATGTGCGAGAGAGAGAGAGCACGGACTCTCTTTGTGATGTAAATTTTTCATGTTCTCCAACGCTGATACGTATTAAAGGGACTAGACTCGGCGAGCTGAGGCGAAGTGAAAAAAAAGAGCATAGTCGTACAAATGTACATTGTGTGTATTTATTATGGAGTTAGAGAAAGAAAGGCAGAGAGGAAATATATACGTACATCCACAGTGCAGGGGAATACGTTGGTCTGAAAACACGTATATACATAAACTCGTTTTATATACACGGGCGCGGCTTCACTCTCGGCCGGCACCGAAAGGCGCAGAGGTAAAACGAGAAAAAACGAGTTCAAGCCGGCGTAAATATATAAACGTGTAATATAAAAATACGCGGCTCTTCTAATTCCATCGCACAATCTTAATCTCTGAGCTTGCGCGCAGCTGTGTTTGTTTTTTTTTTTTTTATGGAATTTCGTGCCTGCTGCCCAGGTTCATTCCTAAATACATCGTTTATTCATTGAGAAAAAAAAATACGTGGCCGAGGCGATTGTCCTATTAATGAGCGCACTGTTTACGGCGCTCGAGCTGTATGCGATAGAACTCGACTCGACTCGAGTTGTTTTTTTCTCTTCGAGTTCGAGTCGATTGCTCGAACTTTTTCAATTACTCTTTTATGCCTCGAGCAATGAGTTAATAAATACAAGAATGAATATAGATAACTCAAGAGTACTTGATTCAAGTCGTAAAATAATTAGCGTCGAAGTGAATTTTGAAGAGAGTGTATGACTTGTAGCTTTGCGCCTTAAGAGAGAATCAAAGTGTTAACGAGAGCAATAGCGAGAGAAAGAAAGAGAAACAGAGCTGCTTCTTTGGTGCAGCTGTTTATAAAGGAGATATGACTTTCTACACGTCGACTACGCAGCACCTGTCTCTTTGTACATATAGCTTCCGGTATGTGTGTGATTCTCGCGTGGTCGCGTTGGTGTAACCTCCTCGATGTCAAATTCGACACGTGCATCAGTCGGAGTCGGGTTTAATTTGGTAACTGGGATGTATAAGGAAAAATAAGTAGGTAGTCGTGAGTTGTACTTTATACATATTTATTGAGTTAACGGTGCGCGGAGCATATTCACTACTAAAAAAATTATTAAATATGAGACATTATAATGAATGTCTTTGTCTTATTCAATCGAGGTAAGTCTGTTATGAATTTTCGAAAATACACATGTATTCATTCAAACAGGTCAAAATAAATCGTACTTTCGTTCAAACAAAAGTTACAAACAAAATACCAAGGCTGCTCGAGGTTTTGATCGAGCATACAAGAGATTACGTTTTCGAATGCAACGCATGCCGACGCATTGGTTTCCCCAATAACTTTTGTTCGAACAAAGAAAACGATTTTAAACTCTGCACGCGCGCTTTTGTTACATATCAAGTACAGGAGCTAACGCATAAATATCATTTGAATTAACAACAAAGGTTCCAAAATTTGTCGAGTTATTTTCCATTCCAACTAAAATTATCGCACGTACAAGTCGCTAAGCACAATCAATCACGATGGGTCTCGTACAATCGTAAATCAAAAGTCTATCGCATATTTTTTCCACGAGGTTTTATACTCGCTGACTTTGTCTCCGCCTAGCGAAGGCGTTATCTATGCAAACGAACGTTCGCCACATGTCGAATGCCTACGTGACGAAATAATCGCTCCTCACTACTCGTCACTACCTTTTCGCTATCGAGAAGAGAAGTGTTTTTTTATGGAATGTTTTATATTTTATTGGATATTAAATGGATAAATAAAAATTTTAATTCATAATAAACTTTTCTCGAAAAAATGTCACAAAGATTGAACACTTCTTTTACGAGGAGACTACAAATTAAAAATTGAGATTTTTGCCCATCGTGTGCCTGACAGTGCTGGTTTCAGGGCTCTATCCACGGTATATTTCGATCATAGACTATATGAGCGTGAAGCCCATTGAAACCAACGCTGACCACTACTCGATGTTTTTCTCAGTGTATCCAAGCGTTCTTTTAAATTATATCTATGCGGCGGGCGCGAGCGCACACACACACAAACACACACACACACACACACACACACACACACACACACACACACACACACACACACACACACACACACACACACACACACACACACACACACACACACACACACACACACACACACACACACACACACACACACACACACACACACACACACACACACACACACACACACACACACACACACACACACACACACACACACACACACACACACACACACACACACACACACACACACACACACACACACACACACACACAAGGGGCCCCGAATGAAATTTGAGACTCCTCCTACTTAACTTTCTTTTGTACAGTTTCGATTGATGTAC